CAAGGGGAGGAGAGCGGCGACAAGGGAAGGGGAGAAGTTGCGGCAATATCAACAAGCTGAAATGAGAGAAATGCGTGCGTGTGTGTGTGCGTGAGCGTGTGTGTGTGTGTGAAAATGCGTTTTTTACCTTCTAATAGTTAAAATAGTTGTATTTTTTATGTTATATAAATAATTTGATTGGTATAAATGTAAAAAGTAGAGTTTCCATGTTAGATATGTAAATACATATGAATTCGGTGGTATTTATGTAAATTCCCTAAAAAAAAGAGGTGAAAAAAAGTTGGAAGTAAATAATGAAACTTTTTTTTTTCTGCAAAAAGGGACTCGTACTAAATAAAGATTGCCAGTACTAAAATTAAATTTGTTGATTTCTTTGCCTCCAACAATAAGAAAGTATGGTCATCTTAAAACAGATTACTTGCATGAATAAGGTAAGGTGTCATTAGGAAAAAACAAAAAAGACACGAATGGAATAAAATCATCTTCATAAATTTTGATGCCAGAACCTCTAGATATGCTTGATTTAAAGATGGCGTTGCAGGTATGACAACAGATTGTCATTCCTGATTCATAAGATATTTCCGCCAAAGTTTCGATGGGAGACAGCAGAATTAAACAGAGCAAGAAAACATCTACCATTTTAGGTAAAAGATTCATCAATAGTGCTTTGTTGGTTCTGGATTGATTCGGGCCAGATGATGAACCAAATTTCTAAATAAAATGCAGTTAATTATATTTAGTTAAGAAGTATAAATAGAAGTAGAAGTGAACAGTATTAGTTCAAAACTTCAGATTAACTCATCCAAGATTAAAAGGCCTACCCGAGCATTAAATGAAATGCGAATAGTTTTGGCCTCCAACCCAAAGAATACTCTGACATCGATGCCAAGGCTGTCAACGCCAATTATATTTGCCCCCTGTGCGAAAAGCCTTGCTTAGTTTTCATAAAGAATGATTTTTAAAGAAATTTTCAAGTTGCAATAAAATAAATGGTGCAAAAATTTAAACTCTTTAGGCTGATGTACAAAATACAAACATATAAATTATGTAAAAATTTTACGAGCACCAACAAATCTTAGCAAAAATGATATGATATCAACATTTCCAAAATTATGGGATTTCAGAGACAATACAGAGAGAGTGATATCGGAGTTAACTCAAATCACACTAAGAACAACAAATATTATTACTAAAAGCAAATAGATAGTTACAATAAACACACTTGAAATGAAAAACACAACAACATACAAAGCAAACACAACTACAATGTATCCTCAACACACTTGAAATGAAAAACACAACATACAAAGCAAACACAACTACAATGTATCCTGAGGATGGTGGTTGTGGTCGGTGAGGATTGGAAGGTGGCGCGGGAGTAAAAAGACGGTTGGCAAAAGGAAAACAACAAGGTTGTTATTTTCCTGGTGTCGATCACTAAGCAAATAGCAGAGAGTGATGTGGGAGGCCTGTCCAGGGTGATGGAGTCAAGGATGGAGGGCCAAAATGGTGGCAACAACAAAAGGATGGGCTAGACAATGACACTGCTGGAAAGGGAGGTCCTAGGTTGCGGCAGCAAGGGGAGGAGAGCGGCGACAAGGGAAGGGGAGGAGTTGCGGCAATATCAACAAGCTGAAATGAGAGAAACGACTGGTCGGGGTGCTGGAGACGACTGGTCGGGTTGCTGGAGCAGTAGAAAACAACTGGGAAAAGCTATTTGAGGTGGCATCAGCAAGCGGGAATGACGGCGGCAACGGGGAGGCGTGGGACTGTGGAACATCAAAGGGAGGGTTGTCTTGGGGCTGTGGCAGCGAGGAGGGATGGTTGGACAACGACGATAGGTGACTGGAATGGATGGCGACAAGGTGAGGGTGGCTAGGAAAGGATTGCAGAAAGTGGAGGAGCTGGTGGTTGGCGGCTAGAGTTGCAATAAGATAGCAATAGTGTTGCCAGATGGTTTTGCCAACGAGGAAAGGCGACGGTGACAGTGAAGGGAGGGTTGCGGTGGATGGGAAATCAAGGATAAATATCTCCGCGAGATCGAACTATAGCTGAAGCATCATTCGATTCTTAGGAGATGGTCACCACCTCGGGCGAATTACAACCAGAACACCTCGCCTTTAGATACAATCCTAGAAGGGGAATACCAAAAGTCGAGGCCGTCCTAAACAGAAACATGAGCAGAACTCCAAGCTAAACCTTAATACAACACATATAAAGGAAAGTACCAAAAATGAGTGAAAGGAAAGGAGAGAAATCACTAAAAATTAAAAAGGATTCCAAAACAGGCCGCTCGGTTAGGCTGTCGTTCGCATGAACCGGCGCACGCACGGTCTGCACTGTAGAAGATGTCATGGGACTGTAGCGGAACTCACAACAGAGGTCCATATGGAAAGCTCATGCATTAGTCTCCTAGAATTGGGAGAGCTTTGACCTTTTCTGTCGAAGCTTCAGTCTCCTCATAATATTTAGGTTGGCCCCATTAAAGATAGCGGAAATATTGTAAGCTCCCGATAAGTCAATCCTGTAGGCATTGTCATACCAAAGTACATCCTGATAGAATAAGTATATATTTTCTTTTGGCGCAATGTGAGCTGAAGCTACATATAGTTGTAGATCTCGCAGAGTAACTCTCGAGCCCTTAAGTATGTAACCTTCTTTCATTTCTCGTAATCGCCCGAATGTATTTTATAAACAAGTCTATTAGGAGGAATCAACTGAGATAAAATCTAAGATAGGTTGGATCACACTGGTGTATAACCACTAAGGAGAGGCCTCTTCTTCGTCTTCTCTAAAAGGGCCTCGGTCCCACTGTAAAATTTTTCTTCTCGCTAAGCTCCTAAGCAATTTCCAAAATTACGGGTCATCCCTCATGTTTGATCAACTTTCGGTGAGTACCTTGTTAAATTGACTGTTCCACCCAAATAATTTCATACGGACTTTAAAAAAAAAAAAAAAAAACTCCATATAATCTTCCAAAAGAAGCTCAAAAACTTCTCATCTCTAATATGTTGAACCTCCCTAGGCACAAAGAACTCAGAAAGGAGTCTATATATCTAAAAAATCATAATTTCTCTTATTTGAGGTTGTAATGTCTCTAGCATTAGTGCTTCAAACTCAAAACCTTCTTGGACGACCACTGTTAATTCAGTTGGAGTCTCTCTTATGAGCTCAGCTTGAACTGCGTGCATTTTTGCCTCATCAGTTGGAATCCAATACTCATTTTTTTTTTTTCGCACAATCTTTAGTTTTTATTGTCTCATAATTGCTCATTTCTTCAATAACTCCCCGATCAGTGAAAGAGATCATTCTCCTGTTTGGGCAATCTGATTCAATAAACTCAAATCTATAGCACTTCAAACACTTCATGGTTGAAACCAATTTAGGAATACGGATTGGTTCCACTTGTTCTCTACTCTGAACTAGTCTTCTCAAGAGAGGTCAATTTGGACGTTCCGCTTGGTGTACTCTTACTGTTTGAACCTAGGGTTGAACCCTGCTTGCAAGATATGGTGGTTGCCTCGTAATGTGGTCTCTCCACTTTTGAAGCTAGAGACTGAACATTTGGTGTGTAGTGAGCTGGTAAAAATTGGTGTTGCATCTCTCATTTATTGGACCAGATACTAATTTTACTCTTCACTTCTAGCTATCGAAGAACCTTCGAGTTCGCCCATTGTTGATATGCATTTTTCCTTAACTTGCTGGTAGCTAGTTTCATCATTCCATCTGGTGGGACATTCTGACACTTAGAAACACATTCCAAGATTCATAACCACTCAATGACCTCATTTGGATCCATGTGGTCGTTGAAATATGACAACTTCAACTTTACTTCAAATTCCAGCTTCTCCAATATTTCATTGCCAAATCTTTGAGATAGTGATTTTTCATCTCAGGAATCAAATAGAATTTGTGTGACCCCTCTGAATAGTGAATAGTCTTATTTCCTCAATTTCATTGAGCTGTTGTACCGCTCGGTGGAGTTTTCGTTGTATCTCATTTATGATAAAGTCCTAATCGTCATTCGTCACTTGTCTCTTTAGAGGCATGATTAGGATTTTGGTATGGGTAGGTGGAAAGAGGTGTGTAATGGTGATGTAGGTGGGGAAAGAAAATTTAGAGAGGGTGTAAGTAGGTTTGGGTATGTCGGATGCTAGAAACCTTAAGATAGAACTAGAGTTATGCTAGCTCTGATACCAAATGATACCAGAGTTAACCCAAATCATAACAGTAATAGTAAATATTATTACTGAAAGCAAATAAGCGGTTACAACCAACACACTTGTAAGAGAAAATACAACAAAAAAAACAAACAAATACGACTAGAGTGTATCCCAAAGATGGTGGTAGTGATCGCCGAGGGTTTGGAAGGTGATGCGGGAGTGGAGAAGTTGGTTGGCAAGTAGAAAATAGCAAGGTGGTTGTTTTCTCGGTGCCGAACAACAAGCAAATAACAGTGAGTGATGTGGGAGGGTTGTCAGGGGTAATGGAAGCAAGAGTGGAGGCTGAAATGGTGGCAGCAACAAAGGAGGGTCTGGACAGCAGCGACACAGCTAGAAAGAGAGGTCCTGGGTTGCGGCGGCAAGGGAGGAGGGTGGCTGCAACGAAGGGGAGGAGTTGCAGCAATGGCAGCAAGCTGGAATAAGAGAAACAGCTAGCCAGGTTGCTGGAACAGCAGAAAACAGCAGGGAAAAACTATTCGGGGTGGCGGCAGCAAGCAAGCAAGAATGATAGAGGCGGTGGAAGGGAGGAGTGGGAATGCAGGACAGCAAAGGAAGGGCTATCCCAGGGCAGCAACAGCGAGGTGGGATGGCTGGAGTGAATACGGGCAGCTGGAATAGGTGGCAGCAAGGTGAGAGGTGGTTGGAAAGGATGGCAGCATGCGTAGAAGGTGTTGGCTGGTGACTGGAGTAGCAGGAAGACAGCGTAAGTGATGTCCGGTGGTTTCAATGGCGAGAAAAGAAGGTAGCAGCGGTGAATGCCGCGAATGGGAAATTGAGGATAAATATCTCCACAATACGGCTGGAGCATCATTTGATCTTTGTGATACGATCACCACCTTGGATGAGTTACAACCAGAGCATCTTCTCGCATTCAGATACCACAATGGAAGGGGAACACAAGAAACTGACAGCCATCTTAAACAAAAACATATGCAAAAATCCATCTAAATGGTAATGCAACACATATATATGAAATGACTAGAAAGGAATGAAAGGAAAGAAGGAAGCTTGCTAAAAATTGGAAGGAATAAAAAACGGGCAGCTCAGTTCGGCTCTGTGCCGTTCAAATGAACAGGAACACCCACGGTCCACACCCCGGTTGCAGAACTGTAGCGAAAATTGTGGCAAGGGTCCATGCGGGACGCATTATAGCAGAAGACGTTGCAGGACTGTAGCGAAAATTGTGGCAAGGGTCCATGCGGGAAGCTCCGGAGTCAGAGAAAGAGAAAGATAGAGAGAGAGAGAGAGAGAGAGAGAGTAAGAGATTAAGAGGGAGGGAGAGTGAGATTAAGCTTTCAAGAGGAAGAGGAAAAAGAAAAGGGGAAGGATTGAAGAGATTGAAATTGACAAAATTCGCTCTCAACTCCTTTCAAGAGGAAGAGAAATCAGAAAAGGGAGAGGATTGTAGAGATTGAGAGATGACAATATTCGCTGTTAACTGAAATAATTTGTCAACAGTTTCTTCAGATGAAAGCTAGATGAATCAAAATAACAAAAGCTATGCGATAGCGTCATACAGGGAGAAAAACTAAAAGCATACAGGAACAAAAATCAGGACGTAATGAAAATACAAACAGTAGAAGTGTTGTACACGCTAAATTTTACCTCAACTACAAGGCCCTTCTTCTTTCGACATAGAGCTTTAAGAGCAGCAACAAACTGCTTGCCATCCTCACAAAAACGTTGCATAATTGCTGAGGCACAGTGTGCAAGAACATCAGGCTCTGCATCTTGGAAATCTTGCAAATTAATAGTTGACTGCAAGATTTAAAAGTAAAAATGAAAATAAAGACGGACAGCAAGTTAACAAATCAATTAAAACTTTTAAAGTTGCCACAAGTTGCCTCATTGTATGTATAAAACTGTAATTCATTGATGTCTGATAGCAATAGCCATTACACGGCATAAAGCGCCGAATACTTACTTGGTCACCATATACAGAAAAGAGCTCCATGGACATAATCTCCAACTTATAAAAGGTTGAATTTAAGTTGCTTCTATCTTGTCTAGAGCTGAAGTTCAATATTTCTCTATCTAAGCATCATCATATTAACTCGGTCAAATTAAATAATAATTAAAAGCAAAAAGGATCATACGATAAAGGACGATGGTGGCACCTATTAAACCATGCATTCCAGCCATTTGTTCCTCTTCCTTCTCTGATTCATCTGCATATGATCGGTCAACTCAACTAAATTCCATTTGAGAAATGAATAGGTGCCATAAACAGCCTCAATGGTGGAGCATGAAATACCTCTCCAATCAAATACATAGTCGTCATCATTTTCCCTATGGAATAATGCCCAAAGATAAGATTCCTCATCAACAAATGCAGGCCGAAGATATCCCATGATGGAAAGCCCGTTTGTTGGATAATCCATCTTATCCTTATGCTTCGAATGAAATGACTGCAAAATTTCAGAATAGTATATTTAAATATATGAAATAAAATTTATCAAGGAGGTCCATGTTAAATTTCTTAAACCAAAAGCAAAAAAGAGATAATATTATGAATGGTCTTATCATATATGAAGTTAGTCTATTAAAAACAGTTATCTTATGATATTAAATCCCAAACTCCAATTTGTCTTGGCTTCGTTGGGTACGTCTACTGATTAAGCACTCCTGTTCTTTACAAAATTCACCTTCAAGAGAGCGATACTTTGTTCCCGCTGAAGCTTAATTTGCAGTGGAATCCACCCAGCTCCACCTTCTCAGTAAGCTCCAATCACACTAGGCTTGGATAAGGAAAACCAGAGAGGGCATGAGAAACATTAATCTTTTCACAATTGATTCAAATTGTATTTGCCCATATTTTTTAAACAAATATAATACCCCTAGGCAATTCTAAATAAAAGCATTAAATCATTAAATTGTAGTTAAGTCATTGAAGCATCACAAGCTGCATAATGGAAGATCATTATTGAAGTAATTACTCATCAAAAATGCATATATTAAATTTTCATTAAGTGTAATCTTCTATGCATATGGATTGTATTTGCAGCAGAAGAGTACTGATATTTACATCATAAAGTTTCTGAAGTGCAAACAACATGCCATGAAAGTCAAAAAGAATTTTAAAGCACGTGTAAATGACCATTTTTATTTTTAAAAAAAATGAAATGAGCGAACTAGCTTCAGTTCAAATGAACCGCGTTAATCGATTCTTTAACAATCAAAAAAAGGAGACGAACGAGGGGAGAGAAAGAGAGAGATGAGGTCAGCGGACGTAAAAAAAATGAAATGAACGAACTAGCTTCAGTTCAAATTAACCGCGTTAATCGATTCTTTAACAATAAAAAAAAAGGAGACGAAAGAGGGGAGAGAAAGAGAGAGATGAGGTCAGCGGACGGACAGATGAAAACGAGTAAGAGAAGAAAGAGAACGGGAGTGAGATGAATGGGAGAAAGAGGTCGAGTAGGCAAGCAAAGAAAGCATGAAAAAGATAAAATCGAAAGAGACCGAACAAGAATGATAATGTGACGGTTGAATATATGTAGGGTGGCCAATGTCAAGATTAGAGCGTCTCCTTATTTAATTTTAAAAGTAGTATCAAAGAAATTCTTGAATTAAGTAGACTAATCATAGCAAAAGAGTTAGAATGATTGACGAGATTTAAGTGGTTTGATTAGATATTATATTTACTCTAATTAGGTAGTATTAACCAAGAGTGTAATAACAGAAAAAAAATATAAAATAATAATTGAATAGAAGCGTCTCTTCGGTTACGACTTAATTGTAATATGCCCTTTTCAAACCAACGAAATTGGGAGAGCGAGAGACAAAACATAATAATCGAGAAGAGGAATGAAGACAAAAGAAATATGAAGAAGAAAGAGGAAGATGATGATGAAGAAGAAGAAGAGAGAAGAAAGAAGTCATCGATTTCAAGCGTGAGGCTTCAAGCTTGCGCAGTTGAAGGAGGAAGCGACGTCATGCCGAGTCGTGTGTGCGTGCGTGCGTGCGTTGAGAGGAGGTGGAACCGAGTGTTTAAGATTGAATTAGGTTAAAGAAGATTGAAATTAGTGATTGTGAAAAAAAAAAGAGAAAGTGGATAAAGGTTTGTGTTTTACTTCTAAAAATATTTTGTTTAAATTAATGTTATATAATATTAGTATAAATTACAATGATTAAACTTAAAATTGAAGATTTGAAATCTTAATTAAAATAATATAATAAGATAATGATTAAAAATAATAATTAATTAAAACATAATTAACAATATGATAAAAATTTATTAACATGAACGATTCCAATGTCTGGATATTACAATCAACTTACCTTAACTCTTTGATTTAATGATATAATAAGATAATGATTAAAAATAATAATTAATTAAAACATAATTAACAATATGATAAAAATTTATTAACATGAACGATTCCAATGTCTGGATATTACAATCAACTTACCTTAACTCTTTGATTTAATGATATAATAAGATAATGATTAAAAATAATAATTAATTAAAACATAATTAACAATATGATAAAAATTTATTAACATGAACGATTCCAATGTCTGGATATTACAATCAACTTACCTTAACTCTTTGATTTTTATCATAACTTAATGTGATCTCATATTAATACTACCGTACACATCCAATTTAAATTAAAAATTTTGAAATTTTAATTTCACTTTCCTTGAAACCTTTCTCTTTTTCCACTATTGTATACTTTCCTTGTTCGAACCAAATACTCTTTGCTTATACGATCTGACATTAAATCCCAATTCAACACTTAAAAAATTTAATAAAATATGTTGATTAACTTCTTAAAATTAAACTCTAACATTGCAACTAGCTCAATTCGGCTTCCCCTAAACCTCATGCATATGAGTCTCTTCTCCTTTCTCTTCTTCTTCACGCGAAACAAAGCCGCACGTGAGTCGCCTTTTTGTATGTGGTTGACCCCTTGTTTCTTCTCCATGGCGTCGCTCCTCCGAGGTGATAAAACATTTAATAAAATATGTTGATTAACTTCTTAAAAACTAGCTCAATTCGGCTTCCCCTAAACCTCATGCATATGAGTCTCCTCTTCTCCTTTCTCTTCTTCTTCACGCGAAACAAAGCCGCACGTGAGTCGCCTTTTTGTATGTGGTTGACCCCTTGTTTCTTCTCCATGGCGTCGCTCCTCAGAGGTGACCTACTGTAGCCACAACTACTCTGCCTCCCTTCTCTTTTTCTTCACGCCAGAGCCGCTGGACTTTTTGATATCGGAGTAAACCTAAACCACGACCAAACGACAAATTTTATTGTTAAATTCAAAAGTTACAATAATGGATTCTCGACATAAAACAACACAAACATGAAAACGGCAAGTGTCAACGACGACTATGCAAAATAAGAAAGAAAACAACACAAAACACATAAACAACTCTCTAGAGGAGAGCGGTGGGCCCGAAAAGAAAGGAAGGGAGTTGTCGCAATGCAGAAAGGTAGAGGGCAGCAGGTGGTTGCGGCATTGGAGGGAGCATAAGTGATGTCGACCTGCTGGAAGGTGTCGGACAGCAGATGGCTGAGGTGCTGGAGGACGTAGGAGTGATGGTAGGCTGCTGGGAAGAGGTTCGCAGTAGGTGGTTGCGGCGTAGGAGAGAGCAGAAGAGGTGATGATGGACTGGACAAAAGCAGGAAGGGGAGGCTGGGGACTGGACAGCAGCAGGAAGGGGAGGCTGGGGACTGGACAGCAACAGGAAGAGTCCCTAAAGGGGCTGACGAAAGCAAGGACAAGTCCAAGAGGGGCTGGTTGCAACAAAGACAGGCCCTGGAGGGCGGGCGGCCACTAGAGCATGCCCTAGAAGGGCTGGTGGCATAAAAAGCAGGCCCTAGAGAGGCTGGCGGTAGCAGAAAGGGGTGGAACAAGCGGAGATAATCACCACCTCGAACGAATCACAGTATATATTCAGGCAATTCTATTAAGGTTGTGTCATCCAACACCTTTCGTGTGGATCACCAACACGACTTCGATCTTCTCTCGTCTTACAAACGACACTCTTCTTCTTCATGCATGAAATCCTCGGTGTAGACTTCGTCTCCCGAGCCCATAAACACTTCCTCCTATGGCTTCTACACTCTTCCTCCTCAAATGTGGCTAGGATTTGAGATGTCTTGTTTTTCCTTCTTCTTCTTCTTCTTCGTCCTTCTTATTTGTTCGATTAACCAAGATTATTTCCTCAAATGTGGCTAGGATTTGGGATGTCTTGCTATGAACGTGCTTGTACCATCAATTTGACAATCTGATGATGTTTTAGGTGTTTTCGAGCATGATCAAGACATTTCAAATTTGATCACATCACATCACATTCTTTGTCTACTAATCTCGTCGTTTCCAATCGACTCACCTTGCAGAGTATATTTAAGTGTCAACACACTTTAATATCTTGGTCGAAAGCCCCTCACTCACAAGATCCACATCTTACCCGTACGCACAAGAGCTCCTTCCTCTCTTCTTCTTGCCGCACAAAACTTCCTCCTTTGTTGGGCTCTCTTTCTTTTTCATTCTTTGAACTCTTCTTCCTCCTCTTCCTCTGCACATGAGGTTTGCTTCCTTCCCACGAGCTGTAACGTCGTCTATACAGATCGGAACCCACAAGAAGCCTGTAAGCCCTCGCCTCCACTCCGCTTCTCCTTTCAACATAAGTTCTTCCAACACACTAGGGCACGAAATAAATCACGCCTAGGCTTTATTTTGCAGCTTCAGCTTGGGAGTCCGCCAATCTATGGTAAGTCTTTCTTGCCGCATGAATTGTATGTCTGAGTTGTTCTTTGACACCGTCACCTTCAACTTGTTCAACAACGCCTTCTCCCGCACAAGGCCAACACACCTCATCCTCCTCTCGGTCTCTCTCGATATATTATGAACGAAGAGAATAGTTCTTTAACTCTTAAAGACGAACGGGGTTGTCATGACAATTCATCAAACCATTGCCACCATTTTGATTTTTTTTTATTTTTGAATTTTGGTTATTACAAGCAAATGAACCATCTACTGAGATTTGGATAGTTATAAGAGATATTACATGACCCGGTTGGCAAAGCATCCAATAGAATTTTGAAGGTTGAGGGGATGACAAATGATTGAAGGAAAAGTATTTTGGTAACAATAATTAAGAAAAAGCTATTATTCAAATATGGGCTAACTAGGGAGGATTCCAACTTGCGAATCATCCAATGAAGTTGTGTGACAAACTAATGGAACATAAGCTTAAAAAATTACATCAATTTTGAAGAACTAATTTTTTAATATTAAGAAAATTAAACAATACAGACAAATTTTATGTTAAGACAATTAATGAAAAAGTATAAAAAACAAAAACAAATGAACCACTTATGATTTTTATTGATATTGATAAGGTATATGATCCAATACCAAGAGATCTGAGCTGGTGTGCTTTAAAGCAAAAACCATAGGTCAAAGATATATTGATGTGATTGAAGATATGTATGATAGATCAAAGACTAATATTAAAAGTAATTAAGGTAACCAAATAGTTTCCTGTTATCATATGTTTAAGAATTAGAAAATACTCTTCTAAACCAAATTACCATATGCTTACATCAAGTATCAGTATTGGCCATATATTTTAGGTTGGTTATGGAGATGCTTATAAAGAATACTCGTAATTTGCCTTGGAATATGCTTATGTGAACAATATGGTTCTAATATGGAGGTCGTTGATGATAAGGCATATGATGATGATGATTCTAACAAACATGCTAACGGCCAGGTGACGATTGAGAGTATAAATCAAGTGAATTCTCAAAAGTAAATTTGAAGGCAATTAAGAAAATGGTTATAAGAATGTGAATCAACATAAAATGTTTTAAGAATGAACCTAAAAAAATGCCTTATATCTTAATGGTGAAAATGCTATTTGCTCTTCAATATGTTTTCAAAACATTAGGATGTCAATTACAAAGTTTATTTTAGCCAAGACTCGGACCACAATGAATCTTTATCACTGATAAAAGATAACAAACTTAAAAAACAAACAGAAATTTAATAATATTAAATAAAAAGAAACCAAAATAAAAAGTCTTAAAAATCAATTAATGGGCCTGCCTGCTATATTATCCTGAATAGTAAACCATAGAGTACTCCTGAACAACACCACTACAGAAACCATGAATAATCAAGAAATTTTTATAGCTTCACAACCTCTCTTTTCTCAACCAACAACACCAAGGCAAGCTTGAATAATTGCAATACCATAAATGGAATGAAAATGCTAATCAATATTCCGAACTAACCTTGGCCAAGAACTTCGCAAAGTAAATAGGATGAATATGGCGCAAGGTTTCTGGCATCCCCCATTTTATAAGAGTATCAGTTATATCTGTGTCAACAATCTGTAATTTCAAAAGATAAATTCATCTTAAACATGTATAATAGGCAATATGACATTGGTTCAATCTAATCCAGAGAACCGAACAGAAAACCTCTTCATAATCATCATCAAGCACGACATTGATAATGTCATTGTCCATGTAGTCAAAGAAGCTATCACTCTCCAATCTGCTCTCCCCATGGACAGGAAAATCCATCCCAATTAGAACATTCTGCAGAAACCAACAAAGTATTTTGTTCCAAATCACGTGGTATTTAAATAAACAAGAAAAAAAATGTGGAAAAGAATACAAACCACAGGATTGCTTGAGCTGTGTTCTTTCAAGATGTTTTCGTCATCAAAAAGTTCAAAAAACATATCTAACAGATAAAAATTATTATTTTTAATATTTGCAAATAAATATACACCAAAACCTGAAGCAACGCATAAAATAAATAAGGAATCTTCACCTCCATAGTCATCTATAACATAGTGAGCTTCAGCCCATGAGATATGTCGATGAGGTTCACAATGTGCCCTTCCTGGAAAAACCAGCAATGCCTTACTATTTGCCTAAAAGGACAATTGTAATAATGTTAATCCTTGAAACTTCAAAAGGCGAATTAATTATATTATCATTGAAAAATGACACGCAATAGATGAGATTTAACAAAATCAACGGCCATTAAAAAAAAATTAAATAAAAAAGTACCTGCTTAGAAAAAAAAGACATGAAACTGTGGAAATAAATTAAAGTTTATTGCTTTATGACATTGTAACGGATAGAAATGGCAAACTTAAAAAGCTTAATTTCGTCTTAAGATGCTGCCAGCGAGATTGTACACGAAACTGTTATTCCAATTCACAACAAGCATGTGAATATGCAGGACTCCTAGCAACTATTAAAACTCCGATCTAAATGCATGTGATACAGGAATAAGTAGGAACTCGGCGGAAACTCAAAATCAAACTTCTATTAATGTAGAAATAGGGCTACAACAGGACACAACTGAAAAGAACAATACAATGGCATTATGCTCCGGCTAAGGCCGGAAGTGAGAATCTAGGGCGGTAGTGGCGTTGGCGAAGTAGTATGGGGATGAGGAGGATTGTAGGCAGCTGGGCAGGTTAGAAAAGGAAATTTTGAAAGAGGGGTTGTGGCTGATTTGATGATTGGAGGAGTGGGGCGACAAGGAAAGTGGTGGGAAAGGCATGTTGGGGATGACCCAGACAACAAGGAGGGCTGCCTAGAGTGGCCGGCAGAATGCAGGTTGGTGATCGGAGGGCTGGACAGCGAGGTCCGGTGACTAAGGAGAAGGGAATGAGAGGATTGAAGAAGGGGAGTGAGAAAGATACAACACAAACTCGGAGGGATACAGACGGAATACCACCACCTCTTCAAATACAACCCTAGAACAGAGAGAACAACCTTCACACGGGAATCTAGAATATGAAAAGAACAAAAACTGAACCCTAATTTTCTGAAAACAACAATATATAGACTCCTATTGGAGGAGAAAAGGAAAGAAATAAGAAAGTAAAATCCCACACAAAAAGAAGGGGTGGGGAAGTAGGAATACTCCAGAAAATAGCCACTAAAGATTTTCCATAAAGAGGAGTGCATAAGGAAGGGAATAGGAGGGGTGGTAGTTTCGCCCCCCCCTAGAGAGCACACGAATCCTCCCGCCTGGATTGGTCCACTGGATCGGAAATATTGCCAGCCGGCCGGTAGCCGGTTCAGCCGGCTGGTGCCTTTAGCACCCCGTGTCAACATGTTCATCTCGTATCAATGCATTAAATCAGTGTTCTTGCAATTATAATTTTGAATAGCTCATGCTAAAGATAGACAATATATTTTTTTTGAAGTAAATAATTGTTCATGTGCTACTAAGATAAATACTTGAACTCGGCCATTGAGATTCTTCAATTTGCTTCCAACTTCCAACTAGTGTGCTACAATTTCGAGCACTATTTGAGTGCTACTAAGTTATTATATTTTTTTAAACAGCTAAATTTTATAACTGATATTAAAAGAGTTAAATGAAATAGCAATTTCAAATGAATGCCTCCATTAAAAAAATATATTTGATCAAGATAACAAAAGGTGTAGCAATTAATGTCTATCTAAGAAAGAAACAAAGTTTCAAAGAGAAGCGTTTTAAATCATGATGCTAAAATCATTAAGGGAGTTATGTCTAGATTGGAATCTAATGAATTTCAAAAAATGGAGAAAGCCTTTTTTTTAAGGGTTTAAGCAAAAAACACCAGATGAAACCCTTTTTTTTACTGAATGAGGTAAAATTTCTGATAGCATCTTGAAAGAAGACCGAGCTTGAGTCATCAATAAGCTCCACTTTAGAACAATCAAACATAGCAATTGCGAATCTAACTGTAATATCAAATATAGAAGAAATAGTATGAGTGAAAATGATCCTTGATAGGCTTAACTATATCTAATCCAGGCACGACTCTTTAAGGAATTAAAAGTCCCAACATCCAAAATTAGATGATACTCTATCATTCTAAACATTAGCAAGTACTGAGGACGACAACTCAAAAGATGAATCTAAGTAATTTTAGACATCAATAAGCTCCACTTTAGAACAATCAAACATAGCAATTGCGAACCTGACTGTAATATCAAATGTAGAAGAAATAGTACGAGTAAAAATGATCCTTGATAGGCTTAACTATATCTAATCCGGGCACTACTCTTAAGGTATTAGAAGTCCCAACATCCAAAATTAGATGATAATCTATCATTCTAAACATTAGCAAGTACTGAGGACAGTAACTCAAAAGATGAATCCAAGTAATTTCAGAAAATGATAACTCCCTAGAGGAACCAAATCAGAGGGAGCGTCACCCAACATGTTAGTAGAGAGGTATTGACATCAGTTTAGGATTCCCCGAAGGTGTTTGAGAATCAAATCTGGCAAGTAAAATGATGTAGGATGGCAGAGAAATGAGAATAAGGGAAGCGGTTGAAGATTAAAAGAGGAAACAACTAATTATAGTTGTTGTCTAGATGAAACATAACAAGAATTGCAGCAAGGATAGTAACAATTGCAGCAGCTCGCGAAGTCGGTGAGGCTCCACCATCTAGACAGATCTACCCCCACTTCTCAAACAGGCTACAGGAAAACTACTTACAAGAGAAAGATAATACAACACTCCAACCAAGGAAAAGCAGAGAAAAAATCTTCAAATAGCATAAATTAAGTAAAAAGTCTCCAAATTAGGTTCTAAATAATATATTTATACTAAGCAGAAATAAACCCTAATTATAACTCAAAATAAGGGCAGTAAAAGCTCCGCAAGGCAATATAGAAAGATAGCAAGAGTTATCCAGCTAGAGGTCTCTTATGTCTCGAGACGGGAAAATTCTATCCCGCTTGCATGCCCCCCTTCATTAAGGACGTAGTTACATCACACTCCCCAGGCAGGAGAGAGATTGTCTTCTTTTCTTAAAACTTTATCCTCAGAGTTCAGTGGCAAATCAACGAAATTAAAAGTACCAAAAATATTATAATTTTTTGGTAGATCAATCTTATATGCATTATTATTGATCTTTTCAGCAACCTTGAATGGACCGTCTGCTCTATGCTTGAGCTTTCCAAATGACCTTACAAAAAACCGCTCCTTCAACCTAATCCATACAATATCACCTTTTTTGAAGACTATAGATTTACTGAACTTGTTGGCACTCTTTGATACTTATTTCTCTGCTTGACAATTTCGTCCTCACCTACTCATGTAAGGATTGAATCTCTCTAGCTCGCACATCTATATCATTACTAAGCTCAGTAGTTGAAAGTATGGGCACTAACTCTAATGGTGTGAGAGGACTTCATCCGTATACAATCTCAAATAAATTACAATCTCTCTAGCAAACTCAACATGAGAAAAAAATAAGGGATTGTTTGATACAGTTTTTTGGTGCTTTACTTTTCAAAACACAGCTGCAGTTCTATTTGGGAAACTGTTTTCTTGCTGCTAATTTAAAATTTTTGTGATAAAAAATTATTTTTTTCAACATAAAGGTGGTGGGTTCCAGAAAGATGCAATCATGTATTTAAAATTAAAATAAATTTGTACAAGTCAGCACATCTTTTTGAACAGCAGCTTTTCTGCAGCAGCTTCACAGCTGCTTCTTCCAACCATTGAAGTTGTCCCAAACAGACTCTAAATCTCATTATGTTGAAAACAAAATTTGGGAGGAAATTTTATTTTTATTCATTATTCACATGTAAGTTATATATATATAAGGGAAACAAGTCCCTCCTAATTTATAAGCTTACCAAATATATCTAATCTAAATTTGGTGAGTAAATAATTATGAAATAAACATAAAAAATGTAAATAGGAAAAGAATAAAACTCATCAGAGGATTTCAAAAATTAGTTCCAATTAGAATCCCCGAGATCTGAGGTGGTCGGCCAACCGACCCACCTTCTGGCTTTCCACACTCCCCCTCAAGCTAGTTCATAGATGTTATAAAGACTAAGCTTGATAATGAACTTTAAGAAGGTGCTTAAAAAAAGAACCAATTTCTTGGTGTGTCGGAATGTAACTAATTAGTTGTATAATTCTATCATTAACCTTCTCAAAGATAAAATGTCTATCAATTTCAATGTGTTTGGTCATGTTAATCGATGCACAAGATTCTTAGCAATATTGATGATTTTTTACTGTCACAGAACATTTGTCTCGGCATTGGAGATACTGGAGTACACCACAATGGCCTTAACAATATGTCACAGAACATTTGTCTCGGCATTGGAGGAGATACTGGAGTACACCACAATGGCCTTAACAATTTCTGAATCCAGATCTTTTATAGATTCCCAAGATCAGTGCCCTATATTCTGAGTTTGCACTGCTTCTACAAATAACAACTTGCTTCTTAATGTATCCAGATTTCCCCATACATAAAAGCAATACCTATGGTTGACCTTCTGTCAGAGAGTTCCCCATCCCAACTTGCATTAGTGTAAATTTCTAACTCTTTGCTTCTGATTTTCTCGAAAATTAATCCATAACCAGGAGTCTTCTTGAGAAACCTCGGAATCCTGTAAACCATCTCCAATATTATTCATTTAGGTTATTCATGTGTTGGCTAACAGTACTGACAAAGTATGCAGCAAGAGTTAGAGTTAGGTGTGATGACATGTAAATGAGTTTTTCTACCAATTTTTGGTACCTTCCCTTGTCCACAGAAATATTTTGTTCCCCATTTTAAACTTGTTGGGATCCATTGAAGTATCAGAAGGCTTGCATCCAATCATCAAGGTCCCTTTAATAGATCTAGGATATATTTTCTTCGTGATATAATAATGCCTTTCTTGGACCTTGCCACATCCATAAATAAAAAATCTAATGATTTTAAGGTCATTGATTTCATACTCAGTGGCAAGCACAACTTTAATTCTAAGAATTTTTTTTTCATCATCACGGTTAAAATCATATTATCTACATATATTGCAACAATCTTACCTCCCCGGGTGTGTTTTATAAACAGTGTATGATCAGTTAGATTTTCAGGAATATCCATTATATGTCATAGTTTTAGC